TCGCATAGCAAGCGATGCTTAGTATTACCCACAGTTCACAAACTGTAGTTTATGAAACACTGGTAATCTCATGAAAGAGTAAAATATCTGTAAGAGGTAGCCCAGCAAGCTCCCTTGTATAGAATATCTGCTTCTCAGATTGCCATTAAACAATTCCAGGAGACCAAGATTCAGCAGTTACTGCTGGACTTTTCAGTTTATGAAGGCAACACTCATCGTTTCATGGATCTATAGATTATAAGGCCCAAGCATACCTTTCTGATCATTGAGTCTGACCTCCGGCGTAACAAAGACCCTAATTTCTCACTGAACTAAAGCATGTCTTTTATAAAAGATGGCTGATATGAATATGAATAATCCACCACATTCCTGGATAAATTGTTCCAATGATTAATTACCATTGCTGTACCTTATTTTCAGTTTGAATTTATCTAGCTTCAACTTCCTGCCATTGAATCTTGTTATGCCTTTGTCTGCTAAATTAAATAGCTCTCTACTATCAGAAATATTCTCAATGGAGGCACTCATAGGCCATGATCAAGTCACCTATTAACCTTGTCTTTGATAATATAATTGGGTTGAGCTTCTTAAATCTCTCACTGTAAGGCAGGCTTTCTAGACCTTGAATAATTCTTGTTGCTCTTTTTTTGAACCCTTTCCAATTTTTCAAAGTGTGGACACCAGCCATGACATGGTATTCCAGAAATGATCTCAACAAGTATAGACATAATACCACCTTCCCACTATGACTCTATATCCCCTGTATACACCCTCATAGCCATACCAGCTCATGTTCAGTTCATTATTCACTATGACCTATAGGTCCTTTCCTGAGTCACTCTTTTGCATGATAAAATCCCTCATCCTGGAAATATGATTTACAGTCTTGGTTCTTGGATGCATGACCTTGCATTTGTCCATATTAAAATGCATGTTGCTTGTTTCAGGGAGTAGACACTGGCTTATATCACTTTGTATAAAGACAAATAACCTTATTACAACCTTAAATGAGGCAGGGGGTTGGGTGGCAATAGTAACTACTGACTGAAAAGAGTGGGTTTATAAGAAATAAGAGGCCCAAACTAAAATGGCAAACTCAAGGACATCTTGACCCTGCTTAGCCTACAGAATGAGTCCCTTTCCTTGCTCCTAAAATTATCCCTCATAAAGTTAATAACCCAACTCCCATCTCCTCCACCATCTTTGAGAAGGGTTTTCCCAGCACAGAGGAATTAATTCAACTACAAGATGCAGTTTTTTCATAAGGGGCTGGGGGTGGGTAGGGACACAATACATGGGAGCTGGGGACAGAGTCAAGTATTCATCTTTACACATTCACAGGATCCTACTGTTGGACAGTTGATCTCACCCATTGTAACAGGCAGTAGTCAGAGATGTTCAAATGGCTGGGAACCTTGCAACAAAAGGAGAAAACTGTGAATGTAATATTGTTACATAGACTAGGAAAGGAAAACCTAAATTTAGTCTTCAAAAAGCTAAATTGCTGGCTTATTGGTCTTTAAAAAGATATTATTAAAGCCTACCCTTTAGGAGTGCTGACCGCTGCAAAATGGGGAAAGTAGGTGGGGAAAAAACACTAGAGGCTTGTTCTGGTAACAGATGTATAATAGTTATACCTCACTCATGTTAGTGGGACAATGGCTGTAAGGGCATTCACCATTCATACCAGCAAAGGAAAGCCATAGAATAGTTTCGCTGTTGCAAAATACAAAAGCATTTTAGAGTAGGGTAATCACATAAATTTGCTGCAATGACAGTAACAGTGCAACCATCACTACTTAGTTTATAATAAAACTACATTTTACAATTGGTATTTTCTTAAAGAACTACATAAATTTAAATGTTATCATCATCATCATCATCATCAGTAAATCTTCATAGATGAAGCAAATAAAAATCTAATTCTTAAACCTGCCACCCCATTAGAACTGGCCAAATGAAGGGGAGAAATATAATATTATTTTTAAAAAGCAAAATTGATTACATGGATATATAACTCAATTTCTTCAATCAGATCTCTAAGATGAATGAATAATTGAATAAAATTAATCAAATATTTCATATGAAAAATTATTCAATAAGTTCTACTTTAATTTGCAAAATATCATTCAACCAACCACTTTGCATATTTTACATACAACTTTTTCTCCCTGCTCCTTCCACAAAAAACCCTTAGGACTTTACATATGACAGGTCTCGGACAGTTCTGAATGCCCCTGGAAAAGGATAAACAAATGCTACAATTCCTTTTTTGTATCACCTTCTTGCTGAAAATGCTGAGCTATTGAAGCAGAGTGAAAAATCGGAGAGCATACTTCAGTTTCACAGAGAGGCAGGCCGGCCTTGGGTAAATGTTAGAGGAGATATCTCAGATTTAATCAGATTATTCCATGACACTGTGACAGACCCAGACCAGTGGGGTACAGGAGTCTGGTAGAGGGCAAATATACTGGTCACTGGATGAGTAGTTTTCTGTTCCCTGAGTGACCAGAGCAGGGGCTACACTAGAGTAATCAGGAAGCTGCTAGAACCAGTTAAGGCAGAGGGGTTAATTAGGACACCTGGAGCCAATTAAGAAGAAGCTGCTAGAATCAATTAAGGCAGGCTAATCAGGGCACCTGGGTTTTAAAAGGAGCTCACTTCAGTTTGTGGTGTGAGTGTGAGGAGCTGGGAGTAAGCGATGCAAGGAGCTGAGAGTGAGTGCTGCTGCTGGAGGACTGAGGAGCACAAGTGTTATCAGACACCAGGAGGAAGGTCCTATGGTGAGAATAAGGAAGGTGTTTGGAGGAGGCCATGGGGAAGTAGTCCAGGGAGTTGTAGCTGTCATGCAGCTGTTACAGGAGGCACTATAGACAGCTGCAGTCCACAGGGCCCTGGGCTGGAACCCGGAGTAGAGGGTGGGCCTGGGTTCCCCCCAAACCTCCCAATTGACCTGGACTGTGGGTTCTTCTAGAGGGGAAGGTCTCTGGGCTGTTCCCCAACCCACATGGTGAATCTCTGAGGCAAGAAAATCCGCCAATAAGCGCAGGACCCACCAAGATAGAGGAGGAACTTTGTCACAACACCTAGACCATTTAGAACATAGTTGAAAAAATGTTACAAGACTTGTATCTGTTTCTCTTGTATCTGAAATGCTCTCTCACAGAAGTCCTTTTCCTAGATCTCATGATCCATCTTATTTGTCTGGTAGCAAGAAAGCAATCTTTTGGCCTCTCTGCTGTGTTGATGTAATGAAGTCAACCTACAGCCTAGACAGAAATCACCCTGCAGCTGAAAACAGAGGGTGGCTGCAGGAGAAGCACAATAAAGACCTCATTTTATTTACTACCCACCTATGTCAACAGTACTATTACCACTGCTGTTCAGATTGAAATGTGTGGACCATTCAAATTTGCCACAAATAGTCTCACTTGTCCCAGGGGTATCGCTTCCTTAAACTAGCAATTTGAAGGAAAATGAACAGAGCACTATTTTGACTACTGGATTTAAGTGGGAGCCACTGAAATAAAGCAGTCTGCCAATACAACACAATCTTAGTTTGTGGAGAATAAGATACCTTAGCTTGTCTATTTTTTTTTTTTTTTAGTCTCCAAATACATTCTCTTGTTGCTTAACTGAAAGTCTCTACTGATTTTTAGGGTTACTCAAGAAAACTTGGCAAAGTGTCCTTTTAAAGAAAAAGTTGAATACATATTTTGATTCAACATATGGCTGTTTTGGTGAACATGCCTGGCAGTAATCTCATCTGCTAGACTATTCTGAGAAAGCCAACACCAATAGACCATAAACACAGTCCAAGCAAATTCAAATGCATATTTGTGGATTTTTTTATTTTTATTTTTTTCCAGTATTAGCTCAGCTCCAATATCAAGGATCTCCTGTTTGTCTATTCCATTTATTTTCATCAAATACATCTTTGGTTGTTGGGTTTTTTTTTAAGTGTTTAGCAACACAAACTTAGTTCGTCTGTCAAGTCACTATCTCACCTCTAGTGATGGTTACTGGTTCCTTAACACCTTATTCATATATATATACATAAAGAATAAGTTTTTTGACATCCCAAGCTTCTCTGTTTTTTGCTTCTCCTATTCGTATTCCTTTGGAAAACATCAACCTTTGCAACCCTTCAGTGATGTGGAAGAACTGAAAGTTCTTCTTGAGGTCTCTCCATAACTACAAAGTAAATACTTTAAAAATCATTCTAAGTAAGAAATGTGTTTTGAACAGTGGAGATGAACCCAAACCAAAACCTGGTTTCAAACATTTGTGAACTTTTAGCCCCATGGCTTGAGAATCTAAGTCTGGATTTAAAAAAAAAAAAATCCATTTGGCCTTTAGGTCTCCACAGAATAGTACATTGCTCTTTTTTTCACCTCCCTCCATTCTGATTTAGGATTATGCAGCTGTCATCCTCCATACATAAAATGAAGAGGTAGCAACTTGTATGCAAATAAAGGGAATTTAACTAATTATGTGGATGATGTAGAAGAGTGCAAAACTGCACCTAAATTGAAGGAACTGAGCCCCAAACTCATAGAACAACTTTATATTTAAATACAGAGGTTATTAAATAGCAATCTAATGCTGACTATTCTCAGAACTGATTATTGAATATATTAGCTTTCAGAAATGTGATATGAAGCCCATTTCCTTATATTCTTATGGTTTGAACTGTAAAGATGAATTATTTCTTCAGAGGCTGAGCATAACTTGTTCATTTCTTTGTTACTTAATCATGCCCCCCAACTTTTTCCTGTTTGTTTTATCCACCTGTTGCATCTTGTAGTAACCTAGACTGTGGGCTCTTTGGGACAGGGACCATGTTTTGCTGTATATCTGTACAGAGCCTAGCACAATAGGGCCCCAATCCTTGATTGCTCCTATAATACAAATAAGAATGGGAAATTATTTTATTTTATTATTGGTTAGGATCTACACACACGACTGCAGAGTGAAATTTAAACTTGTGCAGAACTTACCCCAAGATATTGGCCATCAATAAAGACAACAGGTAGCGATGGAATTTCACACACCCTCCTGCATCTTTCTTCTAGTTCTTTTCCATAGTCGCTGTTCAGAGCAATGTTTTTTTCTTCAAATTTCACTCTGTGATTTTGGAAGATCTTTCTTACTAGCTCGCATCTTTCAAACGTGGTTCTCACCACACGAAGGCTGGTAGTGTAAATTACGATGCGACCAAATTCTAGAACTGTAGACACCTGAAAAACAGAATGGTTTTTATTGTCCACTCCAGTAAATAAAATGTTAGTAGTTACATTTATTTCATGGCTGGACCAGTACCTTTCAGATTATTCTGTTCTTTTGAAATATTATTTAAGCAGTAAGCACATCTTAACCCCTTTTCCAAAATTGTTTTGTTTTTTCCCCCCCTCAAACATAAGTATGGAAGAGGATGAGGTGTGATCTTGGATTAAGCTGTCATAATTGCCATGCAGGGGCCCAATTAAGAGGATTTATGGTGGCTTTGCACAGTGGTGCAAGCAACTTTGAACACTGATGAATCAGTCCCACTAGTTCCAGTCTCTAAAAGCACAAATCCCCAGTTATGCAGCTATGACCTTCATCTAGGTTTGAGATTAATCCACGTTTCGGGGATTTGCCAGATCCTATATCAAATACTGTTTGTTTTATTCTTCCCCAACCGGTTGGGACTGGGGACCCATATAGCCAATGATATCTTGATCTCACATTAATGCACCTATAGTACAGGGGCAGTCAATAGGCGGATTGCGAGCCAAATCTGGACCGCCAGACACTTTTGAACAGACCCCCAAAATCTTTTTATTTACTTATTATTTTCTCTGGAGTCTGGACTTTGACTATACCTTGACCAAGAAATTTGGACCTTGACAAAAAATAATTGACTACCCCTGCTATAGCCCTTGCTATCATGATTCCTCATGAAAAGGCAATGCTACTGCTAGGAAAAAAAGGATGCAAGAGAAAGGCAGACAATCTTGTCTGTCTAACTGAAAAGGACTGGCATCTCTTGAGCAGCAACTCAGTACTTCCTGGTCTTTGCTGAGGATTCAACCAACAGTTTTACCTTTTAAAATGGTAAATTTAGAATAAGGGTCCGATCCAAAGCCCATTGTAGTCAATAGAAGTTGAAAGAGAGAGTATGTGAGAGGGTCTCCCCTCTTTAAAAAAATGGCTTACATTTATAATAATGTCTAAGAACCACTATTGTATATCAAAGAGATATTAAGTTCAGACAAACACTGGATAAATAGTAAAACTCCTAGGTTATTAATTAAAGCAAAATGAACTCCCAAGCCTTTTTAGTTACCCATTGCAAGAGCCAACACAAGAAGGTTTCATTATTTTAGCAATGTTACAGCAGTAAAGCCACAAGTTAGGAAACACTACAAAACAGACTTAAATCATCCTGTAGCAATTTGTAGAAAATGATTCTTGATGGGTGATTATTCATTTTTGAATTGTGTAACCTAACTGCAAAGGTAAAATTGCAGTCAGACTGGGACATACAACATTGGAAGTGTTGGTAGATAATGAAGTCATGATTTATCTTACTAGTCAAATGCACAAAAATGTCACTGGCAGCAAATTTATTTTACTTAGATTTTTAAAGGGTTTAATTTGTAGTTAAGGAGAGTCCTCAAGAAGAACTTTCAGGTCTTCCAGATCACCAAAGGGATGCTTCAGAAATATGGAATTTACCAATTTCCTACCCAGCATCCCAGGGCACCATCCCATAAAGGATCCAAAGGTTCTTTCTCTCTGATTATACTTCTTGGCTCTTCTGTTTTTAGGAAAAGTTAGTGTAAAAATTGATCTATTACTTACTGGCCTGTATTCTATCACTAGAATCTACTATACCTCTTCTGAAGCAATTAACTCTTCCTTAGCTTTTTTCACATCTCCTGAATGAGAGGAATAGCTTGTGCCTTATTAAACCATTCAATATTCTACAGTAATGGTCCAAAATATTTCAGTAAGCCTCATCTGTCACCTTTGTCTTATAAATTATATTCCCCTCCTTTATGGTTGTTATACTATTACTAGCAGCTATTTTGCACATTCCCTACGGAGCAGAAGAGCTGATGCCAAAGTCCAAAAGATTTGCAAAATTAATAAAAATTAGAGAATTACTTCAAAGCAGATGTATAACACATTGCACAGTTTGTGGCGGGGGGCGGGGGGCGGAAACCAGCTACTTATGCACAGGACAAAAGGGAGGGGGGAGTTGAGCAGTGAGCTATTTTTGAACGAATAGAAATACTAATTCCAAAGATTTCTTTAACAGTGCTAATTCACAATCCCAGAGGCAAAAATAACCTTCACTTATACCTCACTGGAAAGACTGGAAGTGAAAGAACTTTGGTTCTCACAAATGATGTTTTCCAACATGAAATGAATAAAGTCATGTTAGATCTTGGTGGCATTGTCATAATGAACAGGAGCCAGAATCATCATCTCGAATAAACCTGGTCAAATGCTTTCCAGTGGAATTGCTTTCCCATTGGAAAATGCTGATTTGGCAGAATCAACATTCCCATGAACATGTTGCTTCTATTGAAACTTTAGGTGGAAACTAAGCAAACCAGCCTGCCTGCTGCCAGCTTGCCCACCCACTTCTCTTGCTCTTTGGTAGCCTGCCTTTTGAGGGAGATTGGGAGCCAGGGATTCCAGAGCTTCCTGGCTCCTTGGTAGCCTGGGTAGACTGGTGCCACAGAGCTGGGGCTTCCCAGGTATTATGCACCCCAGCACCCCGTAAGGTGGGTTCCTTCAGAGTCTGGGAGTACATTGAGCTTGGACTGGAAATATTTTAAAAAAAAATCCATTTTGGAAGAAAAGATTTTTTGAAAGTCTCTCCCATGGAAAATTTTGCATATCCTGTGTTATGTTCTGATTTGGAATGATTTGGGGGTGGGGGAGGAATGCAACATTTGCTGGAAATTCCAGTGACCACAAAGCTCTAATTTCTAGTGCTAGTGGTTCCCAGTCACAGCAGATGGGATTGAAACAAAGGGTCATTATCTGGATTAGCATCAGCACTAGAGGTGTTTTAGCAGCATACAAGTCAACAGAGACATGGGGAAAGTGGAGAGCTGAAAGACTATTTGGAGCAATATCAAGCAGAGATTAGGCAGGTTTATGTGTCTGCATCTGCTTTTATGTTTCTTTATTTTGCCTAATGGGGTAATGAAGAAGCACACTTGTTTGTGCTGCAAAGATGTACCAAGGGCACAAGATAAATAGGAACTTAGGACATTTTAGTAAGATTTCTTCAAATGGTTTTCTGAGATAGAGACTGACTGTACTTGGCATTGGGACATTAAGCTTTTTCCTCTTCGCACTATACTTTTGCCTACTGTAGCTGCACTTGATCATTCAAAATCCTACATGTAAATATACAGAAAATGTGGAAGTTCAATTCTCTTTTCTCTTATTAGTACTAATTCTTATTTTGTTACCCAGTTTGAAGGATAGTAACCCATGATATGTACTATAGAACATAAACCTTTGCAGGAAGTCAGCAGAATTCTATTCTGAATCAATATCCCTGTATCTTTGCTGAGTTGTAAAAGTAGGTTCTTATCTGTTAGTCTCACATGGCAGTAGAATTGTAATAAACTAATGGAAGCAAAAAAATAAATTAATGGAAAAGCAGTTTAGAAAATAAACTTTCACAATTTAGCCCTAACAGACCTTACAGGGACGCTGTGAAACTGACTAACCACAAAGTATCATCAATACATAAAATAAACAAACTGAAAAAAAGTAGAGAAGACTCTTTCCCTGCCCCCGTCCCACACACACCCACACCCTAATCTCTCTTGGTTTTCGTAATCTTACTTGTTAGCTTGTTACTATAGTAGATACAAAGTTTTCAGACAGAAATGTGATTTTCAAATAGACATTGTACCTTTAGCTGTGATCCTACATTTCTGGCCACCTGGAGAGGAATGCAGGACTCCTAGACCCATAGGGAATTCCAGACTGACTGTCACGGGCCTGGTGTAAAGCAGGACTTGGATGGTGGCCATCTTAATAAAAAGTGTAAGCACTTTTGCAACCCTGCTTTCAGGAAATATTACTGTACAGCCAACCTTAGATTTTTCATATATACTGGAAACTTAGCAAATCATTATTGATCAAGCAGTTTGTGCTCCAGAAAGACCCCAGGAGAAAGTATGTTTCCAGAATTGCTGCAAGTGGTCTGGTCCATTCACAAGCAGGAGACACACAAGTAATTTATTCCTGTCTCTCCCTATTTGGGAAATTGTGTTCTCCCTCAGATATAGAAACACCTAAAAAGAGCATCTAGTAGAAAAATGTCTGCAGAGATACTCCCTGCTGTTAGTAGTAGTAGGAATTTGTATGGTTTATTTTTAAGTTGGAACAATTACCACATATGTGTACCCCTAAAACAGATGCTTTGACAACAGCAAAATAAAGCTGACAGGTATTTATGGAACACCACCCAGGACTGGAAAATTATTCTTTAGAGCTCCTGAGATCAAACAAGAACACTGGAAGGTTCTATTGAGCTCAGGCCTGAAGGAACTCTCATGTTCAGTCTGTTAATTGGAAAGGATATCTAGATGCACAAGAGAACTCAAGTGCACAGAACTGTTCTGTGTGGCATAAGGAAGCTCAATGGCTCTGTCATACACAGAACACAAGAGTGCATCAAATCATAGTTAAACATTAAGGCCGGGGCAGGCAAACTTTTTGGCCTGAAGGCCACATTGGGTTTCGTTAATTGTATGGAGCGCTGGTTAGGGGAGGGGGTTGTGGCCTGGCCCCCACCTCCTATCTGCCCCCCCCCCGGGACCCCTGCCCCATCTGCACCCCCCCCCCGGGACCCTTGCCCCATCCACACCCAGCCCCCCGTTCCCTGTCCCCTGACCGCCCCCGGACTCCCACCACCCTCATCCAACCCCTCTTCTCATTCCTGATGGCCCCCCTGGGACCCCGGCCCCATCCAACCACCCCTTCTCCCTGTCCTCTGACTGCCCCCAGAACCCCCACCCCTGACTGCCCCCTGCTGCCCCATCCAACCCCCCCTCCTCCCTGACTACCCCCCACAGGACCCCTGCCCCCATTCAACCCCCTGTGCCCCCCCGACCCCTATCCACACCCCCGCCCCGACCACCATCCCAAACTCCCCTGCCCTCTAGCCAACCCCCCCTGCTCTCTGCCCTCTTACCACGCTGCCTGGAGCACCAAT